GTCAAACTATACTTGGATTAGATAAAAGCACACATAACATGACTTTTCAATCAAGAAAGTAGAGAAAAAAGCAAATCTTTTCCTCCTAAAACAGAATAAAAAGTACACAGCATTTTTTAAGCTTGAGAATACATTTTTTGAGGATTTTCTTCCCCCATGTATAAACAAAAATTAGCTGAGTATTTAATATTTAAAATATCACATTTCTACGTAACTTCTTAAATAGTTTAAAAATAATTTTTCTTACGATATCCCTATGAGATAGGCTGTACAAGTATTACCATTTTACAGATGCAGAAACTGGACTTCTAATAGATGAAGTAACTATACAACTTACCTAGTAAATAGTACAGCTCAATCTCAAACCTAGGTTGTCCGACTTCAAACACTATGACTTGCACTAAAATTCACTGATTTCACATATAATATTGTGGGGGGAGAGCAGAATCTCAGTATAAAACAAGATTCCTAAGCTTTAGACAATATCTTGTTTGTTTCAAATAATGTAAACAAACTTCCAATTTGGAATTGATTACACTGGGCTATGACTTCAAGTCCATAAGAAACCTGTTATTTGATTATGCACAGGGATGAAAATATAGTTTGGGATCTGAAATAACATTAAAGAACTAAATTATAAAATTTTAAATAAAAAAAATTAAATTGTAAAATGATGGCTGAAATTATTAAAGTGGGTAATTTGTATTTTAAACAATTTTGCACAAATGAGCAAAACAACAACAACAACAACAAAACCCAAGGATCCCAGCATTAAGCAAAATTATAAAATATCAGAATATGTGGGATATTTTATAGTAAAAAACCAAAATGATATAGTTAAAATAATTCAGATATAATAAATTTCATGGAGTTCAACTTTCAAAAAATATTTAAAAGTACCTTATCAATGATATCATCTATTTTCCCTTCTTCTACTGACTTCTTTATTGTTTGTGCTGTTTCAGCAACTGATTCCGTTATCTTTTTTGTAGCAGCAGTGGCAAAGTTAAATAGGTAATCTGCCAATGATAAAAAATAAATAAGCTTTAGTCTGCTCTCCATTCAAGTACAATACTTACTAGATTAATAATGATTTTTCCTCTCAAAAGGAAACTTGCAAGTATCTAAAATTCTGAGACATTACTGTTGATTAGGGAAGATATTTCCATATAAAGTAAAAAAAATTTATTATATTTCTACTATGTATTTGCAAGGAACTGCCCTAGTCACTGGGAATAGGAAGACAAAAATTAAATAGTCCTTAACTTCAAGAAACTTATATTCTCCAGGAAGGATACGAAATGCATACAAATAAGTAAACATAAACTATGTACATATCAATTTCAAGAAAGACAGAGTGCTAATAGCTATATCAAGACAGGTCCTTTTTAGGAAGGCAACTAAGCTGTGCTTTGAAAGAAGGTAAGACTCCCTGGAGACAGAGAGAAGGGAGGGAATTTCAGAGAGAGGCTTTAAATGCCAGGCACTTCTTTCTTCTCAAGGCAAATGAACTGCTAAAGATTTTTGAGTATGTGTATAGTTGTTAGAAGGGTGATGTTGTAATATCTGTTGTAGGAGTATTAATTTGACAGGTGTGTGTATGGGATGAAATGCAGAGCAATGAGGTTGTAGGCAGGGAAGCCAATTAGGAGGCTATTGCAAAAATCCAACTAAGGCATGCTGAGCACAGAACTACAACAGAGGCTACACAAACAAATAAAAGGGAACAAGGAAACACACTGTAGTTCAGTTATTTTTGTTTAATTAAGGGGGAGGGGAGGGATATGCCTATTTAACATATGTACCTCTGTACGCATTACTTCCATTCTGTTAGTGTGTGATCTCATGGGTGTGAGTCTTCCATCTCTGCAGAATGCAAACCATCAAGCCCTGTGCATTCCAACATATTCCTGTCCGTGTGCTCCAGAGAAGGCAGAGCCCACAGGCTGGTTCTCTTGCCATTCTGGAGTAGCAGAGGAACACCAGAGCTGTCCTGTAATCTTAACCAAGCTGTGCTGCAGGAGCAGTTTCCTTATGATGTGCCTCCCAATTCTTTGATGATTGTGGTATTCCATGACTTGTAGCCATGTGTATTACATTAAACATTCAATCATAAGAACAAAAATTCAAGCTGGGTTTAAAAGAATTCCAACAAACTTTTTGCCTTTAGTCAGGCTTTCATAGTACACACAATAGGCAAATACAACTTCGAATTAACTAGATTTCTTTTTGATTGCCAAGTAAACTTCCCACAACAGCTATTGCAAACTTTCCTTACTCTACTCAAGCTCCCATTTTTACCTCTTCCCTTCAGTCTCAGCTTCTGCTTCACTTTTTACTTTACTAATAATAAAGATCTATACCGTTCATTAAAGGCATGAATTCTTTAATTTTCTCTCTTCTCTAACCCTAAGTCTCTCTCTTCTTTCCCTGCCCTTTTCATCAAAGGTGATGTCCCTCCTCCTTTCTACTTCTTTACCCCATGCATTTGAATCTCAGGCCTTTTTGCTCCCTCAAAATGTTCCCTCCCTTAGCATATTCAATCTCTCCTCTGTTAGCACCTTGCCTCTGCACAAAACCTTCACTTAATCCAGTTCAAAACAAACATTTATGAACACCTACTATGTGATCAAAACAATGACCTTCTTCAAGGAATTTCCATTCTAGAGACGTACACACAGATTAGTAAATAAAAGGTAAACTGATCATTCTGAGAACACGAAGAATTGGAAGTGGGGGGTGGGGAGGGGAAGATATCAGGGAAAACTTCATGGAGGAAAAGGCAACAGGGTTGGGAAGGAGGTATGGTCCAGGCTTTGGTGAAAAGTGTGTGTATAGACAAGGCATTAAAGTAGTAAATGGAATTTCAAGTATGGCTAGTCCAATTGCCTCTTTAGATATCATCCTATTTCTCTTTTTTTCACCACCACATTTCTCAATCTCTGCTTTCATTTCTGCCTCACCCACTCACAGGTTCATGAGATTTAGAAAGGAGTCTAGAGGCAATCTAGTTGAACCTCTTCATTTCGCAGATGAGTAAAGTAAGGCCCTGGGAAGTTAAGTGACTTGACTCAGGTAACAAACAGAGGCAGTGAGCAGCAACTCTCAGATTTAAAATCCAGATCCCGACTCCAAATCCCATTCTTTTCCAATACACTATCACTAATTCCTTAAACCACTAAAATGTGGCTTCCATCTTGACTGCTGAAACTGTGCTCCAAAATGTCACCAATAACCCCCAATTTGTCAAGTCCAGTAACTTTTCCTTGGTCCATATTCTCTTTTGTGTCTATGAAGGAATCCGTGCTACTGACCACTGAACTAACCTCTACTACTCTGGTCCTTCCCCTACCTCCCCTCTTGACATCTCCCACCCTTTCGACTTTTTCAAGGACCTTCCCTTCCAGTCCCACTTGACTCATTCCTACCCACACTTCAAGGGCTAGCTCAAACCTCTCTCAAATACATTGTACTTTTTATGATAGTTACTTATATACACTTCACTAATCACTCATTCTACACCTCTTTTCTGGAAGGTATTTGCTACCCTATCAGCTCTTTGGGATGAAGACTGTTTATTACAATTCATCAGAATACAAATGCCTTTTAAGTATTATCACTGTCACTGTACATATTCTCTCAGTTTACTTTTTTCACTATGCATCAATTCACGTCTATCTGGATGACATATTTGTTATTTTTAGCAGTACAATAATATTTCATTATTCATGTCAAATTTTGTTTCGTCATTCCCTGACACAGGTTATCCCTATGGATAACCATCTTGTTTCCAGTTTTTTGCTACCAAAAAGAGAGCCACGATGTTATATAAGGTCTTTTCCTTTCGTAATTGACTTTCTTGGAAAACTTGTCCAATAGCTGGATCCCCAGATTAAAGGCTGTGAGACAGTTTAGTAACTTTTTATTACATCATTCTCATTTTTTTCCAGAATGGTTGGCCCAATTCACAGGTCCACCAACAAAATTGATGCATCTATCTTCCCACAGCCCTTCCAATATTGACTGTTTCTACCTTTTAATGATCTTTTGTCAATTTAAAGGATGTAAGATTTGTTTCTTATTCTACTGTATTCCATATAAACTCTGAGGATCCTCATTACAACTCCCCTCCCCCCTTTTTTGAGGGTTGAGAGGAGACTGGGTCTCCCTATCTCTCCTAGGCTAGAAGTGCAATAGCCATTCATAGGCCAGATCCCACTGCTGATTGGCTCACCATATTGAAGGTCAGACCTTCAGAATCCAAGCCATTGAATCACCCTCAGTCTCTTCAGTAGCAGGGGTTATAGACAGTATGTGTTACCGCGCCAATCCAACTCTCACTCTCATGGATAAATCTCAAGGTTCTAAAGGCACTGGGGTGGAGGGAGGGGGGGACTCCTAGAATGGTTCTAATGCCATCACTTGTGCCCCCACCAGTATGCTTCCACCTAAAATTACTTAGAAAAGGGTATTTACTAAGGTGCCATAATAAAAAAAAATTGGTACAATACACTCCCCCTACCTCAGCCAAATGTCTGTGATATATTCTACCACAAACTCCACACAGAGTCCAGGGAAAAGGGGCCTCAAGCCTGAGAGCACAAGTGGCAAAGGAGTACTCACAGCTGTTGGCTACTGGAAGTCTTTTTTTTCTTTTTATGTGGCAAAAGAACACCCACAGCTTTTGGTTGTTAGAATTCCATTTTCCCCCTTTACGAGGTATTCAAGAATTTTCTCTTAAGCATGGTTTAGTTTCTTGCTAGTCTTTTTGTGGAGCCTTTAGCCTAGGCTGTCCTTAGTTCTGGATGCAGGTACTGTTATAAGCCATTCCAGGGATGTAGCTAGACCATCAGTGGAAAGTTGGGAGGTCTAACATCCCCTGACCCTTCAAAATTCTCAAGGAGCATGCAGGAAAACTGCATTGCTCTGGAAATCAATCTCTTCTCACCTTGTTTATTAATAACTTACAGATGATCCTGGTGTGTTTCCTCAGTCTATCTGAACATCATTGCTGTGCAACATCATTCCAGTATGCAGGCTTTTTAGCACTTTGTTATCTTATGAATGCTTGAATAACAGACATGTTCTTATCTAGTTAAGGTATATAATGGCTAAAATGGGATGGGAACATTTCTGCCCACTCTTCCACTACTATCAATGATTTAAAACAGTCATAGTACTTTATGATCATGGGCATTATAGTTAGGTAACATAGTAGGGGCTTAGTGGAATTAAATTTGATTTTAGAATTTAATTCTCCTCAATAGCACATTCCTAAAAATACATATAAGTATTTTACAGATAAATATATTTGATAGATGACTAGTTCACTTTTAACATTTAGTTAAACTTAAAACAAAATGTACTAATTGATAAGGCAAATCAAAGCATCTGAGGAAACATGGTCCTTTCACTGCTGTACAAAGAACATAGAAAAGGTACAGGTTCCTGTCCTCAAGGAATTTCAATGCCCAAAGAAAAGCATCAGAGGTCAAGTAAAGTAAAAGGAACAGGATTATTCCTTCCTTCTCCTAATAAACAAAAGTCTTGAAACCTAAAAGGAAAAGACAGAATGGCTCCAAAGACAAAACTTGGAATACAAGATAAGGGGAGACGGAAAGAAAGTGCCCTCAAGAGCTTATAATCTATCAGAGGAGACAACCAATATATATTTATGTAATTCTTTTTTTTTTTTTTAATTAAAAAATTGTCTGTAATGGTCAGAAAACTGACTGGTTAAAATAAAGTTCAAAAGTAATTCAAACTAAGAACAGGGCAAAAAAAAGATAAGGCTGGAGCAGGCAACTGAAGCAACTCCAATCTGATTGATTAAGACAATATGCAAATAAATATATACAAAGCAATCTATATAAAGGACAAATATTTCAGGAAATAATAATTAAGAGAGGGAAGGCATTAGAATTAAAGAGAGATTGGGAGAGAAGATAGCATTTTAGTTGGGACTTAAAGACAGAAAAGGGGGCAGCTAGGTGGCGCAGTGGATAGAGCACCGGCCCTGGATTCAGGAGGACATGAGTTCAAATCCGGCCTCAGACACATAACGCTTACTAGCTGTGTGACCCTGGGCAAGTCACCTAACCCCATTGCCTAGCCAAAACAAACAAATCAAAAAAAAGTGATATAGGGAAAGATAAGAGCCAAGTTATCCTTGGTCTTTCTACAAGTTTATACAGACAGAGATGAAGGCCTAGCTTTCTAAAAGAGCAAAGAGTTCAGTAGATTTACAGCATAATAAATCTAGGAAAGGAAGAAGATCCTGGGATAAATTTTAAAAAGAGAGACAGACAACAGCAACAACCAAAACCCTCTGAAAGTTATGATCATAAGTTTCTGAATTTAAGACGTGAGATGAGCTGTGATGAATACATACTGAGTGCATACTAAATACATATTTAAGAAAATGATTCTAAACACAAAACTAAAAGAATGTGTACTTTTGTAGAAAACCGATTAAACTAAGTTTGCTTACTATAAATTATAAAGCACTGAACACAGAAAAAGGGTATTTTAAAGTTTACTGCAGTATAACTAACTTTCACTATCTCCCAGGGTAGCTAAAGAGCTACTAAAAAGCTATAGCGAAGCAAATCTTGGAACTCTATAATCTCAGAAGAATCAAAATTATAAGTGACCAAAAGGGCAATGCAGAAATGTATCCACAGTTGGGATTATGCAGACGGCAGCATATTCTTAATTCTGTGCACATGAAGTACCATAAAAAAGATAATTTAAAAAATGGTATAACAGGAAATGAGGTGGGTCAAGTATAACATATCAACAGCCCAAGTACTAGACTGTTCTTTGAAAGAACATAGTTAAAAAAAAGACATAGTTATTGTATTGGAGAGCCCCGATATCCTGGAGGATTTAAGGGAATGTATAGAAAAGAATGAACAAATAAGCATTTATCAAGCACTTACCAGGTTCAAAATTTTGGACTAAATACTGGAGATGGATAAAAATAGAAAAGCAGACAGTTCCTGATTTCAAGGAGCTTGAGTTCTAATGACGGATGACCATACATATAGGAAGTTTTCTGCTACAAGTCAGGAGGAAAGGTCCTATAGTCCTTAGGATGTGTATATGGTAATGCAACTTCTTTAATGTCAACTGCACTGATAAAACCTTGTGCATTTCTGACTGCGACTACTCGCCAATGCCAAACTTTGGTGGTGAGAACCTTCCTTTATAGTTCTTTAGTGGCTGCTGAGAAGGGCCTAGGGGCTACAGCATCTGCAGTAATTGCCAGGTCACTTCTCTTCATAGGTTGCTTCCCTGGAAGATGACTGAGGAGGCTGGGCTATAATCATGCAGGACAAAAAGGGATGGATGAACTTCGATCTGTACCACTGGAGGGAGAGTCCACGTGAACTCAGATCATGGATCCAATCAAATGTCACTACTTTTGTTGAGATTATCATTTTGTACTTTGGATAGGAGATTCTTTCCACTTATAGTTGTTTTAATCCAGCTTCACAGATATGGCAACTTCCCATTTAAAATTACCACATGGCCTTTTTCTTCATTGATTAAGATGATCACAATTTGGTAGAGTAGTATCAAGACACACCAAATGATTAAAGGAGTTATTGCTTATATTCTTATAATTTTTAAATTATTAGCTTTGATGGATTCTAGACCTTTAATATATTATGCATTTTAGATTTGTACTTATAGCTAGAGTCTATTCTTTATAATTATGGGGTTGCGCTTGGACTTCTCTAAACAGTGATTTCATTGGAGTAGGGAACTCCCATAAGGAACCTCTCTCCACCAATGCAGACTGGCAATTTGTAGGGGGCACTGAGATGTTGAGTGACTTGCCCAGTGTCACACTACCATTGTATTGGTCAATGGCAAGACTTGAACCTGAGTCTCCCTGGCTTCTATACCGGGTCTCTATCTTTTACGCTATACTGCATTTAATAAGTGTTTGTTAGTTTGCGTTGAATTTTACAACAAATCAACTCTCAGTGTAGTGTTTAACTCTCATATACATTTTCCCTTCTCTCCACTTATACAGCCACAACTCTAGTTCAGGCCCTCATTCCCTTTCACCTGTACTACTGCAAGAGTATTTTAATTGGTCTCCCTGCCCCAAGGCCCTTCCTACTTCAAACTAACCTCCACTCAGCTGCCAACCTGATTTTTCTAAAGCACAGGTCTGACCTTGTCATCCTCCTGCTCAATGAGCTCTGGTGGTTCCTTATTACCTCCAAGATGAAATATAAAGTCTTCTGTTTGGCATTTAAAACTTTTAATAACCTAGCCCTTTCTACCTTTCCAGTCTTCTTACACTTTAGCCTCTTTCATGTACTCTACGATGCAGCTAGACTGAACTATTTGTTCCTCTAACATAAATACTCTACCTCCTGTCTTTCTGCCTTTTCAGTGGCTCTCTCTGTGGAAAGCTCTGCCTCCTCACCACCTCTTCTCTAGTTTCCCTTGCCAGACTCAGCTCAAGCCCCACCTTCTGCAGGAAGCCTTTTCTCCTGCACCAAGGTGCCAATGGCTTCTGTCTCAGATTACCTTCCAGTCATCTACTCTGTATATATCTTGCACATAAGTAGTTATCTGCATGTTGTCTTCTCCATTAGACCCTGAGCTCCTTGATAGCAGGAACTTTTTTTTTTACCTTTCTTTGTATCCCCAGTTCTTTGCACAGTGTCTAACATAAAGGCTTAATAAATGTTTATTGACTGAATCAAACTCTCAAATATTGGAAACAGAAATCAAAGCTAGTATCTAATGAGGTGGTAAAATTGGGAAAGAATTTTTACTTAACATATATAAGGGCCAGTGTCGGGAAAGGTTAAGCCCCACATATGCTGACTGTAACCCTAACAAGTCACTTGACCTCCAAGTCCTACAGACAGCTCTCAGAAGATTATAATTTGCAGAGAAGGTGTTCATTTGCATTGGTAGAGTGTCTGTTTGACAAAATAATAATTATGGGCAACCTATACCAATAAAATTACAAATTAGGTAAAAATATCTATTATATGTTAAAACACAAAGATTTTAAAACACTGAAGATCTAGTGGAGTAGATAAAACATATGAGAGGAACCCATTTTTATTTCTCCTATAAAACTATCTTGTCTCAAATTTTATAAGTATTAAACATTTGACTGGTAGATATCTTGTTTGGCCAACTAATTTAAGGAGCTCCCGGAGGGCACAAACTAAATCTTCTATATCTTTTGAAAGCCTCCCATCTACTTAAGGTGCTTGAAAAACAACTGCTGAAAGAATCTTTATAACATAAAATATTAAAGGAAAAAAGCCCATTAGAACTAATAATTAAAATGTATGTAACCAATAGCTCCTTTAATCCATCTGTTATGTCTTCATACCAGGGCAGCAAGTTCTACTCATCTTAATCAATGAAGAAAAAGGCCATGTGGTCACTTAAAATCTGAACACTCTAGCAAAGCTTTGACAATTGAACCACCAAAATAAGGCATTCAGGAGCAAATAGCATGTTGATGTCCAGGCAGGCCACTGTCTTTTATTATTTTATCAGATAGACTCATGAGTAATGCTTAGCTATAGAAAAGATAAGGACTCAAGATAACCTTTTTCCTAGCTGAAGACAATATTGCAAGAAAATATGATTAACTGAAGCAAAGGCCATCAATAAACAACCAGAATTCACCACTATCTACTCCACAAGGTTCTTGTTAACATATCTCTATCTAGAACTCCAAATGTGTAAATTAATTAGGAAAAACCCATTAAATTTCAGCAAAACAGTACCCAGCCCTTATTTCCCAGCTCTTTGTAACGCAAAAGATCTGTTATAAAAGAAAACGGAAATCTAGAAAGTAGTTCATTATTATCAAAGCATAAAAACATTGGAGATACATTCACTGGTAACAACGATGGTCTTTTAATATTTTATAGAAATGAACACCGAGGAGAACACTGCACATATGAAAATGCTTTTTAGAAGTGGATTTCTCTTTTTAATGACTGTACAGTCGACTGAATAAAGCCTGTGTGGGTTTTTAAAGTCTTTCTTAATATAGTTCCACTCCCCTATCCAACTACATATTCTACAGCTGTCCAACCCAAACTGTCTGCTCTAGTCAGATCCATTTCCTCCTGGGGTCCTGTAAAATACAACACTGCACTCTTACCTATCCTAGGTGATCCCCATCTAGCCACCTATCTTTTCCCTCCGTCGTCCAACCCAAACTCTCTGATCAAATCTGATCCATCTCCTCCTGGTCACCTGTCCTAGGTGATTCCCTACCCCCCCCAAGTTGGGATGCCCTTTCACCATTCTTCAAGTTAGGTGACCCCCCCCCCCCCATTTGGAATATGTTCTCTCCCCATCCTTCAAGGCTGTGCTCCAGACCTACACTTTCTCCCACTCGCTGACCCTTCCACTTTCCCACCTGCACTGAATATTCACTATCACAGTGGAGGCCTTGACTAACTTCCTAAACGTTCATGGATCCGGTGACTAGCTCAGGGTCTGGAGCATCAAAGGCGCTCAAATATTAAACAACTTCTAAGTAAAATCCGCCCAGCCGGCATCCGGTACGAGGGGGCGGGAGAGGGCTGGTGGTCCTCCCCGAGCAACTCCGAGTCCCGCCCCCGCGGGACACACCCCCTCCCCTTCTCCACGCTGGGGACACAGTAGGAACTTAACAAATGCTTATTTTCCTCCGGCCTTTCTCCTGCTCTCCCTCACTTCTTTCTTTCCTTCTGCTCTCGGGAGGGAGGTGGCCCGGCTCGGGAAGGGGGGAGTGGCACCGACGTATCCCGCGGGGCGGTGACGGAGAAGAGGTGGCCCCGACCCGCCCCCACGGTCCCGTCCTCCCTCCTTTCCCCACCCCCGCCCGCTCTCCCGGCCCTCGGGGATGCTCACTGCCGAGGCCTTTGGCCTGGTGGAGAAGAGGCTCCTCGTCTCCTTCCCGCGGCTCGGGCTCATTCCCTGCCTCGGTCGCCTCTTCGAGGCTACCCCCGGCCGGGGGTTCACCCCCTGCGGACGCCTGTTCCAAGCCAAACCAGCTGCCCAGACCCCGTAACATCCCGCCCGCCCGGCCTCAGGCGGCCGCTGTGAGCCCGGTCACCAGGGTCCGGTAGCGGTAGCAGCCGCAGCCGCCGCCGCCGCCGCCGCCTTCAGGTTCAACTTGCCAGTTTCCCTGAGTCCGCCGGAAGCCGTTCAGACTCAGATCACATGAGCGGCCGCTCTACCCGACCCCACTCCTCTATGGCCTCACCTTGCATGCGTCACTTCCGGCGTGGCCGGCGTTGTGGCGTTCACTCCGGGCTGGCTTGAGGATTGGTGAATGGCGATAAACTTTGTTCTAGAGTTTACGCTTGGACGCAGGAGTGACCTCCTGTAGCCTCGTCATTGGCCACTCCTTTGGTCCGGTCATCCTAGAGCTGCCAAAACCAAAATACGCCCTGCCCTCAAGAAACTAACAGTCTACAGAGGGGAGATATGACAAATAACACAGATAGACACATAGAGGTCCTAATGGCGTGATAAGATTTGAGAAAGAAAAAAATAAAGGCTCAATTAGAGGCATCTGCTGTGTGCTTCTGCAGGCTCTTCCCAGGAGTGATAATAATGATAACAACAACAATAATATTTATATAGCGCTTACTATGCCCTAGGCACTGTGTTAAGTGCTTTACAATTAATAATAGCTAACATTTATATAGCACTTACTATATTCCAGGCACCGTACAAAGCACTTTACAATTATGATCTCATTTCATCCTCACAGGCCTGGCAGGTAGGTGCTCTTATTATCCCCATTTTACAGATGATGAAACAGGCAAACAGAGGTGAAGTGATTTCCCCAGGGTCACATAGCTAGTGAGTGAGGTCAAATTTGAACTGTCAGGTTGCCCTGACTCCAGGTCCATCGCTGCATCCACTGCACCATGTAGTTCCTTCAGCAGGTAGAAAAGGGGGCCAATCATGTAGCAAAAGCATAGAATAACAACAGATGGACAGCCTATGTTCCATCAGAGCACACATTGTCAAAAGAACTCTTTTGGGAGAATTAGGGAAGGACAAGTGTCTCAGTAAATGAGAAGATGAAAAGAGGAAGATGTTCTTAATCTTTTTGTATGCCATTGAATCCTCTGGCAGTCTTGTTGAAGTCAGATTTGGGAGAGCGGTTCTGGCGTGAAAGAATTCACTTAGACCTTCTCTGTAGCCATTGGTGATGAGTTCAAGGTGGACCCCAAGAATGCTGGGGTGCTACTTGAAATGATGAGGAATAGTGTCCTGAAAGAATTCACTCTAATAGTCTCCAGGTTAAAGAAATGCATTTATTGGGGTGATGTAGCCAAGCTGGTCTGCTCTCTGTGAGGCAGAGCCTCAATAGGCTGTACTCACGTGAGAGGCAGAGCATAGGCCGCAGGCCCTGCTCCCCTAACCCTGCTTCCCATAGGAGGCAAAGGCAGTTAGCCAGATTAAAGGTATGGTTTAAATACAATTTTATGGAATGGGGGAAGGGCACAAGAGAATGGGAGGAGCAAACATAGCCCCACAATGCCTGGGGTATCAGGCGACAAGCAAAGAGAACTGGAAAGGGGAGGGGAAGAGTTGTTTTGCAATTGAGAGTGCTTTGTAAAAGCACACAGATAAGTCCAGGAAGGGGGCTTCAATGCACAATTTTCTTTGATCACTTTTCTGGCTGGTCACATCCTGAATCTTATCTCCTAATGTTTGAGAGGTTGAGACCCCTCAAAGATTGGAAGTACAGGACGGGGTCGTCTGGAATGAATTCACAGAATCAAGCATTCTTTAAGTCAAGTTGGCAAAAAGTTTATTGTTACGCTTTTCAGCGGGCAAGATTTCTTAAGGAAGCTGTGACCTTAGAGGGGTACAGTTAAAGTTTATATAGGATAAAATACAATAAAACATGTGTCAAATATGCTAACTAGGTGATTCAGGGCGGGATTAGGGAGTTGTTAAGGAGTGGTCAGTTCTTAAAGGAACATGTACTTCTTATATCTACTGAGCAGGCGGTTTACCCAGAGTTCACTAGAAAAAGCCCACAAGGGGAGGCCACATGGAGGTGTGGTTTTAGGCCTGCTACGTCACTAAGTTAACTAGAGTTCCGGGGTAACTGAGAGTTGTCCAGTCTGCCACCAGTTAATGTCTTGTTTGACGAGATCGATGTAGGGAGTATACATATGTTTTAGGTCTAGAATACAGATAATGAGGTGTCCAGGATGTAAATAATGAGGTAGGGCGGTAGTATAGATAGTCCAGTGGGTAAGATATCTTTATGACTCAGTGCAAAGTCAGTTCAAACTAATAATTCCTTCAGGTACTTTTTGTTACTGCACCAGGGAGAGAGATAAGGGTCTTGCTGGGACTCACTCATGAGTAATTGCTAGGCACAGTGTCCTTGGGCTGGGGAGAAATTGTCAGAGACAGTGTTTCTGAGATTAGGGAGAAATTGGGGTCCAAGTACAAGCACAAGCATCCAAACACAAGCATCCCATCGCTATCTCACGTCCTGCTTGCTCCATCTGCCTCAAGCACTCTTTTCTACCTCATCAGTCTGATGAAGCCTATGGACCCTCTTTTTGGAATAATGTTTTAAATGCATAAAATAAATACATAGGAAACCAATTACATTGAAATAAAGATGTAATTTTTCCCCTATCAAAGTTTATGCATGCCCTGAAATCGATGCATGGGCTCCTTAGAAGTCCATGGACTACAGGTTCAGAACCCTTGTGGTAGAGGGAGTATCCTCATTGATAAAATATAACATCCATCCTTTTTTGTAAAACAGGTAAATTGGAAAAGTCCCTGACCAAATTGGGGAATTTTCAAAAAAACAAAAAACAAACAAACAAAAAAACCAACCTGATAACATACTGTGTTCTTAAAAAAAACCTGGTAATATAAGAGAGGTTATTTTTTGCCTCTCATCAAACTAAATAAATTTCTCCATTAATCCAATGGGATTATAAAGTTAAAGTAATTGATGGGGTATAAGGAATTTATGATTGGCTAAGAGGATAGATAACGCCCCTTATGGTCTAAATAAAAGATAAATTAACTCTACTTGAGATAGAATTCAAGATAGAGTTCAAGGGAGCCTTTTGCAGCATGGGGAAAGGGAAAGAATTTCTTTCCTCTCAGCCACTCCATCAAAGGAACTACTAGACTAAGATTTTAAATCCAAATCACTGGGGCTTTCCTTGAATGGGTAACAATAAGCCCCAACCCAATCCTCTGTGGCTCATTGTTTAGGTTTTGGTGTGTGGGTTATTTTTTTTTTTTTTTAAATTTTGGAGGCAATGAGGGATAAACGACTTGCCTAAGGTCACACAGCTAACTAGTGTCTGAGCCCAGATGTGAACTCGGGTCCATCTGACTCCAGGGCCAGTGTTCTATCTGCTATGGTCAGAAACTCTGAAGGCTCTTCCCCTCCCAGACTGATATGTTTGTGAGGGTGAATTGGGCCATCTTTTGTCTCAATTCTTACCGGGCCCTTAGTCATTGAATGGGTGTGGCCTTGGAAAAACTGAGAACTGCGAAAGACCTAAATTTAGAGGTCAAGTGCCCAGCTTCACCCACTTCATCCTGGACTTCAATGATTCTAGGGGAGAGAGTGAGGCTGATGACTTTGCCCAGCTCTGCCTCACTTCAATCCAATTCATTATCAAGTCGGGATATCACCCTTGTGACATCATTGGTCCTCTTTGAGAATGAAGGCTGAACAACAACAGCCACTCTCTCGGCAATGACTTCTTGTAATAGAAGCACGTGGCTGTAGGAGATGCTTGCTTTACACTCACCCAGAGGAGAATTCAAGGACTTTGCGTTGTGACCACCAGCCTTCTATGTTGAAGTTCAGAGACTGTTGCCTGGAACAGGGATCCTTGTTCAGACTTTGGCAGGCCTCAGAGCCGAAACTCCAAGGGGGCTGAACTAGGGATATTTCCTTCTAGTCCTAAGGTAAAGGTTCTGGTTCTTTATGAAGAGTCAAACAAAGCTCCAACTAAAGATTTCAGGATAGCCAAAAGCTGGAGGCTGCAGGACTATGTCCCACCGGCAAGGTGCCCAACAGAAAGCAGTTTTTGAAACCTCATAACAAGAAGCAAGGCAGGGACATCACAAGAGGTCATCTGGAGCCCTGCAGTTTTGGACTTGAGTTGCTCAATTTACATATATTCCTCATGTTTGGTTCCCCTTATGCTTGATCTCCGTATTTGCTGATTTCTCAATATGGGAATATATGCCCTAAGATTTTGGGGAAATGCTCTAAAGTAAATCCTCTTACTACGCTCCAATAAAATCCCTTTGCTCTAAGATGTTTCCTCTGGCTTCCTATTGAAAGCTAAATATGTCAGTTGGGACTCATGAGTTATGTTTTAGGATTGCAGACCTAACTTCAGCCTGGAGACGTTATCATCTAAGGGAGTCAACCTAGAAGTTGGAGTTGGGGGTTAGCCCAAAGGGGCCTTACATATTGAAGTAGTAGATATTTGAGAACAGAAACATGAAATCTCACTTTTTGTCATATGAGCGTTCTAATGACTCTTCATATCATGTAATAAATAGGCAGAAGTGGCTTCCATTCCTACATATCTCCATTTGTTTTCTAAGGCATCAGACACTCAACACCATTTGATGAGGCCTATGCTTCCTAGACTCCTTTCCTGACTCTGTACCACAGAAAAGATATAAATGTTAAGCAGGAAAGCTTCTGAAAGAAGGATGGAACCATTTAATGAGGGATTGATCTTTATATTTCTTTTGAATATCCCTCAACCCAAGCACAATTATTAGATCTCATGAATATAATAAGCATTCAGGAAATACTTGTCTAATGAATCAATGAAAAACATCCCCTAACTCCCACGTCCTATGGCTAAACTACTCTCTAGTATTTAATTTTCTCTACCTTTTTTGGGAACTGCACAATAGAGCTCCTGGCCTGGAGTCAGGAAGACCTGAGTTCAAAGAGGCCCCAGAAGCTTACTAACTGTGTGATCTTGGGCAAGTCATTTAACCCTGTTTGCCTCAGTTGCCATCTGTAAAATGAGGTAGAGAAGAAAATAGCAAAACCACTCCTACACCTCTGCCA